CTGGTGGGGGCTCCCGGTTCTGTACCCCGCAGTTGTCCTGAGCAGCTCTCCAGGAGTTCGTGGGAGGAAGGGCAGGCAGGGTGGTGGGACTCTCAGTCCTCTGCCCCAGCGCCACTCTGAGCCATGCTACTCCCACACCAGGAGGCCCTGGCAGCCACCCACAGCAGGGGTCCAGAGCGCCCAGAGCAGGGAAGCAGGGCCAGCGCGCCGTGAGCGCCTACCTGGCAGATGTCCGCAGGGCCCTGGGGTCTGCAGGCTGTAGCCAGCTCTTGGCAGCGCTGACAGCCTACAAGCAAGACGATGACCTCGACAAGGTGCTGGCCGTGCTGGCCGCCCTGACCACTGCAAAGCCGGAGGACTTCCCCCTGCTGCAGAGCAAGTGGCCTGGGCGTGGGAACAGCCAGTGGGGTGGGCGTGGGGGACAGCCAGTGGGGTGGGCGTGGGGGACAGCCAGTGGGGTGGGGGCGGGGGACAGCCAGTGGGGTGGGGGCGGGGGACAGCCAGTGGGGTGGGCGTGGGGACAGCCAGTGGGGTGGGGGCGGGGGCAGGGGCAGGGTGGGGACCGTGCCGGGTCTGAGTGAAGCTCCCCGCAGGGTTCAGCATGTTTGTGCGTCCACACCACAAGCAGCGCTTCTCACAGACGTGCACAGACCTGACCGGCAGACCCTCCCTGGGCACGGAGCCACCAGGACCCCAGGAGGAGAGTCTTGCCGTGCCTCCTGTGCTCACCCACAGGGCTCCCCAACCAGGTAGGGCGCCTGCCTGGCTGCTCCTGACAGTGCCCCAACCGCATGCAGCCCTGGGAGTGAGCAGCAAAGCCCCAGGCCCTGCTCAGACTCGGTCTCCGTCTCCAGGCCCCTCACGGTCCGAGAAGCCCGGAAAGACCCAGAGCGAGCTCTCGACCTTCCTTAGACAGAGGCCAGCAGGGACTGTGGGGGCGGGCGGTGAGGCTGCAGGGCCCAGCCAGTCCCCAGGACCTCCCCACGGGCCTGCAGCATCTGAGTGGGGTGAGCCTCCTGGGAGAGACCTTGCTGGGCAGCAGGCTGCGGGAGCTCCGAGCGGGCCCCTCTCAGCAGGCTGTGTGTGCCAGGGCTGTGGGGCGGAGGATGTGGTGCCCTTCCAGTGCCCTGCCTGTGATTTCCAGCGCTGCCAAGCCTGTTGGCAACGGCACCTTCAGGTTGGTGCCTGGTCACTACAGTTCCTGCTGGGTGTAGCCCCAGGTGGTGGGCTGAGGGGGAAAGGGCCGGGTATAGCCCCAGGTGGTGGGCTGGTGGCAACGCCTGGCAGGTGCGTCCAGCGGGCCGGTTGTCTTACAGGCCTCTAGGACGTGCCCATCCTGCCACACCGCCTCCAGGAAGCAGAGCGTCACGCAGGTCTTCTGGCCAGAGCCCCAGTGAGTGCCCACGGAGGCCCTCAGCACACCCGACGTGGCTTGATCACATGCTTGTCCAGCTCTGGTGGGCCAAGGAACCACCCAACAGAATAGGCCAGCCCATGCCTGCCTGCCTGCCCCACTGCAGTGGGACCGGATCTGGGCCTCCCTCTGAGAAGCCCTGAGCTACGTTGGGGTCTGGGGTGGGCCTCTGGGAAGGTGCTTCCCCAGAACTTCCCTGGCTCCCGGCCTGTGAGTGGTGCCACGGGGGCATCCCAGCTGAGCCCCTCACCAGGAAGGAGACCCCCGTGGGCATGTGTCCACTTTTCATCAGGCGACAGGGTTCTCTAATAAAAGTGCTGGCAGTGCCCCGGACGGTGTCTTCGTGGCCTGGGCTTGGTGGTGGGAGTTGAGGAGAGACAGGGAGTTGGCACAGGCCCCTTGTAGCCTGCCTTGTGACACTACTTCCTCCACAGTGGGCTCAGCCCTGCCCTCATCCTCACTGCTGCAGCCAAGCTGCAACTGTGGGGGGATCCACCAATACACCAGCTGCCTGGGCTGGTTGCTGGGTCAGGAGCTGCCCCAGGTGCTGAGGAGGGCGGTTCCCTGGGTTCCCTGGCTGGTGAAGCCCCTCACAGAACCACCCTTGGACTGAGCTGTGGGGAGGGATGGTACCAGGTGGGTGAGGGGGGCTGTCTGGGGAGGGAGGAGTTCCTATGGGGCGTGGTGAGGCTGGCCCAGCCCTCTCCCTGCCCATATAGGGCGGCAGCAGGATGGGCTTGGGGATTGGGCAGTCCCTCCGCAGGCGGAGGGAGGGCAGAGGCGGCGGCATGTTGGTCAGGCACAGCAGGATCCGGTGTCCGCGCTGAGCCACGCTCTCCCTGCTCCAGCAAGAACCATGAGGGCGCTGGAGGGGCCGGGCCTGCTGCTGCTGTGCCTGGTGTGGGCGCTGCCCGCCCTGCTGCTGGTGCCGGCCATGCGTGGAGCGACAGAGGCACCCACTTACCCCTGGCGGGACACAGACACGGGGGAGTGGCTGGTGTGTGCCCAGTGCCCCCCAGGCACCTTTGTGAAGCAGCCCTGCCGCCGAGACAGCCCCACGACGTGTGGCCCGTGTCCTCCACGCCACTACACGCAGTTCTGGAACTACCTGGAGCGCTGCCGCTACTGCAACGTCCTCTGCGGGGAGCGCGAGGAAGAGGCACGGCCTTGCCACGCCACCCACAACCGCGCCTGCCGCTGCCGCACCGGCTTCTTCGCACACGCTGGTTTCTGCCTGGAGCATGCATTGTGTCCACCTGGCACCGGCGTGATGGCCCCGGGTGAGAGCTGCGCGAGGGGAAGGGCCCCCAGGAGTGGTGGTCGGAGGTGTGGCAGGGGTCAGGTTGCTGGTCCCAGGCTTGCACCCTGAGCTAGGACACCAGTTCCCCTGACCCTGTTCTTCCCTCCCGGCTGCAGGCACCCCCAGCCAGAACACGCAGTGCCAGCCGTGCCCCCCAGGCACCTTCTCAGCCAGCAGCTCCAGCTCAGAGCAGTGCCAGCCCCACCGTAACTGCACGGCCCTGGGCCTGGCCCTCAACGTGCCAGGCTCTTCCTCCCACGACGCCCTGTGCACCAGCTGCACTGCCTTCCCCCTCAGCACCAGGGTACCAGGTGAGCCAGAGGACTGAGGGAGTAGCACACTGCAGGCCAGGCCCACTTGTGCCCTCACTCCAGCCCCTACACGTGCATCTAGCCTGAAGCATGCCAGCTGGCCTCGGGGAAGGGGCCACAGTGGATTTGAGGGGTCAGGGGTCCCTCCTCTAGATCCCCACCAAGTCTGCCCCCTCAGGGGTGGCTGAGGATTAGGATCCGAGCCAGGGCAGAGCCTCCCCTGGGGAGCCTTGGGAAGGTGGGCAGCACTCTCCTAACTGCCCGAGAGGAAGGTGGCTGGCTCCTGTGACATGGGGAAACCAAGGCCCGATGTTAACTCTCGTAACTGCCCGAGGGGAAGGTGGCTGGCCCCTCTGACATGGGGAAACTGAGGCCCGATGTTAGCCACTGTTAAGAAGCCACAGTGGTTAACACAAAGTCAGGTTCAGTCCATCTGCAGATCCCAACCAGCCCCTTCCAGTGGCCCAGGAGCCCTAAGATCCTGCCTGGGCCCCTTTGCCTCTCCCAGCCAAACTCCGAGTGGCCACTCCTGCCCCCACGCCTTTGCCCACTGTGCTGACTGAAGGCTCCTGCCCCTTCTCCAGTCCCCACCCTTGCAGTGCTCACTCCAGCACGGCTCACTGTACAGGGATTTCTCTCCTGCAAACCCCCTGGGTGGGGCCCAGAAAACAGGGTGCTCGGCAGGCCCCCACCAGTGTCTGTGGGTGAAATGAGGGGACTGCTGCCTCCCCACCCACTACAGGAACTGAGGAGTGCAAGCGTGCCGTCATCGACTTCGTGGCTTTCCAGGATATCTCCATCAAGAGGTTGCAGCGGCTGCTGCAGGCCCTTGAGACCCCGGGGGGCTGGGGTCCAACACCAAGGGCGGGCCGCGCAGCCTTGCGGCTGAAGCTGCAACAGCGGCTCACGGAGCTCCTGGAGGCGCAGGACGGGGCACTTCTGGTGCGGCTGCTGCAGGCACTGCGTGTGGCCAGGATGCCCGGGCTGGAGCGGAGCGTCCGTGAGCGCTTCCTCCCTGGGCACTGATCCTGGCCCCCTCTCCCCCTTATTTATTCGACATCCTTGGCACCCCACTTGCACTAAAAGCGGCTTTTTTAATAGAAGAAATGAGATTTCTTAAAGCTTATTTTTATAAAGCCTTTTCATAAAACTGGTTGTAGTTGCACAGCTACTGGGAGGGCAGCCGCGGACACCTGAGCCGCCCGGTGTGCCCAGATCCCTCAGGCTGCCATCAGAACTGTTGCTCGGGGCTTCCCCTACCTCAGACCCTCCCAGGGAGGATCACTGGGAGTGCCTCCTCTACGCTCCCGTTGGCTGTGGCACGTGGCGGGGGCCCCTGAAGCTCAGGGAGGGTCAAGGCCTGGGAGGGTATCATTGCTCGAAGAACAGGACGGGGCTCAGGCCAGCCCCAGTCGCCGGGGCCCCACACTAACCCCCTCTTTTGAATTCCTCCCACTCCCAACTCTCAGGGGATTTCCCAAGAGGAGCCCTGCCAAACACCTCCTCCAGGCCTCCCATGCTTCCTGGGAAGTGAAGCTTTTCCCCTTTGGGGCAGGCTCTGAAGCCTTCAGATGCATCCAGAGCAACTGGGGGCCCGCCCCAGCCACACTCCCCTCCCCAGCCACACTCCCCTCCCCAGCCACACTCCCCACCCCCGCCACACTCCCCTGCGTGGCCAGTTTCCCGTGGCTGGAGGCCCCGCCCCCTAGGTCCTGGGAACCAACCTGCAAAACACACACAGGGTCCCCTGGAGATGACGCGGGGACTTCCAGGGCCCGACTCCCATGAGTCACAGCCCCGCAGCTGCTGTGCCACCCCCACCCTGACTCATGCCCCTTCCCAGCAGCTCCTCCCAGGCCCCCCACGTCCTTCCCACATCTGCAGGAAGGGAGTGCCTGGACTCTCCAGGCTCCAGACCCACCTGGGGAGCCCCTCACCTGCCCACCAGCCCCTGAGCAGCCCAGTGCCACAGTCACCGTGTCCAACATCCAGGAGCCAAGCCTCAGCCCTCCAGGAGGGAAGGGATGGACAGACCCACACTTGCCGTCTTTATTTTGCACTCACTCTGGGCAGCACTGGGCAGGCGGCTCCTGCCCACAGCCAGACTGAGGAAGAACAGCGCTCAGCAGGCCCAGTGGCGGCTGTGCAGGGAGGGCCCCAGGATCAGCCTCACTCCCAAGCAGGGGACGCAGGCCCCGCACAGCACTGACACAGGGCCCCCCAGAGAACCCCTCCAGGAGGTTCTCTCCTGGCTGGGAGAGGGCTCTGGACCCCCCCACACACTCCCCACTTGCAGGGCTGGGGCACAAAAACAGCCACTCCCAGCAGAGGCCCCCTCAGCTTTTTTGCATCAGCTCCCTCCCAGGGGATTAAGATGAGGCAAAGCCAGGCTCAGGTGCGGAGTGTATGTCTTCCCTCACAGGCCTCCTCGGCTCTGTCCCGAGGCTGCATCAGAATCCAGGGCCCCCGCTGGCCTTTGGGGACATGGCCTGGGTCTTCCTTAAGGCAAGATCAGCCCCAGACCACCTCCAGGGTCACGGGGCACAAGCCAGAGGGCAGCCATAGCTGACTGGCCTCCTTCTCGATGGGGTGGACATGCAGCCACGGAATCTCCCAAAGGCCCCACAGGGCTGTCCCCAGGCAGTCCAAGCCAGCCTGAGCACTGGAGCCCCAATTCCCAACCAGGTCTCCCTCAGACCCCCCCGAAAGGGCCCAGAAAGGCCACCGCAGCGCCCCATGGAAAGGCTGCCGCCAGAGGGCGCTAGCCGGGCGGCCAGACTCCCCTCCAAAACCTCCGAGGCCTACACTTTTCCAGACGTAGAGGAAAGTTTGTCTTCGAGAAAACAAAGGAAATGGAAGAACCCCAAAGCAAAGCAAACCCACCCCCCAGACGAGCAGCCAACAGGCCACTCCTCCAGCACCGGGCACCAGCCGTCCCGACGGCAGCGCGGCCGCGCCTACGTGATGTCCCTCTGCCGCGGCGGCCGGTGCACGTTCCGCACGACACACTTCACCATCCACTCGATGCCCTCGCGCACCCCTTTGCTGTGAAGACAGGGGGTGTGAGGGGGCTGGCCTTGGTCCCCAAAGCCCCTGCAGGTGCAGCTCCACTCACCCCGTGAGGGCCGAGCAGGCCTGGGTCAGGCAATCCCGCCTGCCGATCTTGCCGGTGCAGTCGCTGAAGGCCGTCTTGATGTCAGGGATTGAGAGGCACGTCTGGGGGAGGCAAGGCCATGAGGAGCAGCCCCCACGTCTGGCCCTGTCCTGCCTGTGGGCCTGGGACTCTCAGAAGGGCATATGCCCTTCACCCCAGAAAAACAGGCAGAGCTCCACGAGGGTCCCAGTGTCTCCCAGAGGCCACAGCGGTGAGGACCCTGCGCTCACCCCGAGGCTGAACGTGGCTGGTAGTGCCTGGGACAGACGTTAGACGTCCACACAGCTGCAAGGAATCCACCCCCATCCCCTTCCTGGGGGACACCATGAGGCCCGAGGTGGGGCACCAAGGGTTGATGCCTCCTGGGCAGTGGTGGAGGCAGGTCCCAGGGGCCCATACAGCTGGGAATAATGGAGGGGTGGGAGCCCTGCGTTGGGCCACATGGCCAGGGATGATGTGGGGGGGAGCCCTGCGTCGGTGATGGGGGCAGTCTGCAATCATGGTCACTTCTGCTCACAACCACCTGCCCAGTCCTCAAAAGCAGCCCTCCCCTTTCCTCTGAGGGGAGACCCCTGCCCCACACCAGGTGGCCCTCTTTGTCAGCTGAGATTGTGGGGGAGGCCAGCCCTACAGGCTGGGGGCAACAGAGCCGCCCCAGAGAAGGCGGGCAGTAAAGATTCACCCTGGCCCTCTGGACGCTGCACTGCTTCTGTGGAAGCCACTCCAAGAGGACGGCAAGAATTCAGTGTGGCCAGTGCTCCAGGGGACAGCAGCACCTCAGAGGAGTCTTGAGGGGCTGCCCTGGGGGTGGGGCTGGCACAGATGCCCCCTCCAAGCGTAGCAGGAACAAGTGAGGGTCAGAGCTGACTCCCACCAGGGCCCCAGCATCACTTTTTGAGCTCTGAGTTTCATCTGGGTCTCCCCACAGCTCAGTCGTACGCTCCTGAGACACGGCCGCCTTTAGGGGAGAGGTGCCCTGCATGGCAGGAAGAGGCCTACTGGGCGCCTGCCTTGAGGTGGGAGAACCTCCAGGGCTGGCAGCAGCAGGTCCGGAGAGGAACCAGGCTTGGGAAGCTGCCGGGGGCAGGGCGGGCCTTGAGAATGGCTCTGTGCCCCTGGGCGGTCACTGGGCCTGGGCCTGGGGAGTCTGGGTGCACACACTGCTCCCCTTGCTGTGGGGGAGTCTGGGGACTTGGGAAGCTGCTGCAGCAGACGGGGTGGGGCTCACCTCCACATCCTGCTTGTTGGCCAGCACCAAGACAGGGACACCGCACAGCGCCTCGCTGGTCACCACCTTCTCTGGGGGGGCAGGAGGCAGCACCTCACACCCAGCATCCTGCCTCTGACTGCCCTGGGGCCCACAGCCGTGGACGCCGACAGCTGCTCCCTCTGCCCCCCATTGCCCATGAGGCAGGAGCGCTTCTGACCAGACACTGAGCCAACCCCAGGTACAGAGCTGCCCAAGCTGGACCTGCCCCCACTCACCATCCACCCCTCCCAGAGCAGCCAGGCCGCACTCACCGAACGCCTGCTTGGACTCGGCCAGCCTCTCCTCGTCGGTGGAGTCAATGACGTAGATGACGCCGTGACACTCTGCATAATACTGGGAGGAAGCAGGAGTTGGGGCTCAGTCCCCACCCTGCCAGGGGCCAGGTCTGTGTCATGGCCACTATGGGGGGCTCACATGAGGAACGGGCAAGAGAGGAGCTCCCGCTTGCAAGACCCTTCTGGGATGCATTCCGGGGTTGTGGGGAAATCTGGTGGAGGTGCCCCCAGGCACTGTTCCTAAGAACCTGCCTGCAACCTTTGGCCTGATGGTGGCCAGATAAAAAGGTGAAAGACAGGGATTGGGCCAGGCATGGTAGCTCACAATTATCCCAACACTTTGGGGGGCAGAAGCAGGAGGATCACCTGAGCCCAGTTCACGGCCAACCTGGGCAATGTAGTGAAACTTCGTCTCTACAAAAGCTTATGGTAATGTGCGCCTATAGTCCTAGCTACTTGGGAGGCTGAGGTGGGAGAACGGCATGAGCCTGGGAGGTTGAGGCTGTAGTGAGCTCTGATCATGCCACTGTGCTCCAGCCTGGGTGAGAATGAGAGACCCTATCTCAAAAAAAAGATAGGGTTTGGGGGCTGGAGGAACACAAACCACAGCCTGGCCTGTCGAGGGAGTGCACCTGTGGGGCACCGTGCCAGCACCTCGTGCGGGGAGGGATTGTGGCCATGCGGATGACAACACTGACCAGCGCCATCTACGAGGCGAGCCCTCCCTGCCAGGACAGGGCCAGAGTCACTGAACTCAGGACTTTTGCAGGCTGGGCTGGTCAGTCCTGGGCTCGCTGGCGACACTGCTAGGCAACACAGGGCACAGACCCTGTGGCCTCAGGTACGAGTGCCGAGCCCCGGACCAGATGAGTGCATCTCTGTCGGAATCAGAAAAGAATACAGGAAACTCCGCGTCCACGTGGAGCAAACAGCTCACATTTGCCACTTTGCCTCCAGGCTGTGCCAGCTGTCCTGCCTGGGCATGAGGTCCCAGAGACCTGGAACTGGATGCTGACCAGGTAGGACAAGCTGGTGGTCAGTGTGTTAAGACACACATACCCCTGCGAGCGTGAGAAGTCAGGAGGCACCGCCCAACTCTCCGAAATCCTTAGGGTGTCCGCGCACGGAGTACCAGGCAACCCCATCCCAGTGCCAGACAAGCTTGTGCACCTGCACTTCTCACAGTGGAGAAAGAAGCCCAAGGCCAGGCGTCCTCCAGGGTTCTGCAGGCAGCGAGGCCCCCCACACCCACACCCCCAGGAGCTTCTCTGGCCCATAGGCAGGTGCCACACACAGGCCACCAGCCCCACAGGGGACCCTGCAGTGTGGAGACTGTCTGCTGCTGACACCCAGGAGCAGGCGGACCCTGAGGCGGAGACCTCTGCGGCGGGAGGGGCAGCTCTGTGGAGGCTGCAGCAAGCCCAGTGAGAGAATCCCCACGTGGCCCCCGGGGCTTCTGAACAGGGTGGCAGAAGGTTCATGTGCAACCGGGTCCTGGACCATGGGACCACGTGGTCAGAGCCACCCATCACACCTACCAGGCACAAGGCACACAGCCCAGCAGGGCTGCAGTGAGACGGGAGTGGCACCTCAGGGCCGAGTGCAGGCAGGACCTAGAGCCCCATGCCCCAGTGGAGGCGTCACAGCAGTGGTCACTGTGTGGTACCCCACAATGAGGGGAAGAGGGAAATGTCCAAGCGTGGCTCCTGGCTGGCCAGCTGATCCCAGCGGAGCAATCAGAGGGACTGTGGGTCTGAGTGCTTCTCCCCAGCAGCAATGGGAGCTCCCCAACTGCCAAGTGCCAGCCAGCCTGAGAGACTAGTGTCACAGCAAAGAACCCAGGAGCTGAGGTCCTGGCACAGGCCACACGTGGACGCCGGCCCGGGGTCCAGCCCCAGGACGAGGCCAATTCCCAGTGATAGCCCTTTCGCTCTGCACAAGGATGCAGGATACAGGAACCAGGGTGGGAGCAGAGGCCTCCCTTCTGGTCCCTCCTGGGGGGGTCTCTGCTGCTGATCCTCCCAGCTCTGAGCTCAGCAGGGTCAGGCGTCCCAGCCACTAGAGCAGCACATACTCAGCTGACGATGAGCCACAGCTGCCTCACGGGCATGAAATGCACCTCGTATCTAGGAGACCCTGGTGGGCAGGAGACGGGGCTGCTATCCCACAGCTGGGGACCCAGAGAGCCACTGGCCCCACCAAGGTGGCGTCTGGAGAAGGACTCAGACTGCCAGGAAATCACACCCCAGCAGAAGTGGTAGTGAATTGGGGGGACACTCAAGGAAGAATGCAGCCCTAAGACCAGCAGCAAGGATGAGCTATAGCGGCCCCCTTAAGTCTCCCTCTTCCAGTTTCCCCTTAAGAGAGACCCTCGGGACCTTGGAGGAGCCCCTCTCCGACATGGAAGTGTGGGTCCATGCAAGGCTGCGGCTGCGGCCAGTGCAGGCGTCTGTGGCCCCAGTGTATTCTTGCTTCATGCTGGAGAACACTGTACCAGCGGATGGCCTCGTTCTGGTTTCTGTGGGACCCACTCTGGCTGCAAAGAACCATGCTGCCAGGTCACACCTGCCCAAGGCAGCCCACGCTGGAGACCCACCGGGCCATGGCGTGAAGTCCCGGCCAGCCTGGCCCCACATGGCCCAGCACAGCCAGTTCTCCTCCAGAGCTCCCTGCTGGGCCAACCACAGCTCCGCGGATCCTGCTGCCTGAATCGACCTCTCCTCTCCCATCCTCGCTGCCTTCCTGATGCTGACCCCCAATATGCATCCTGTAGCTCAACCTGTCTCGGCATCTGTGCCTGAGACACTGGCCTGTGACAAGATCATCATCATCTTTGTCCCTCCCCAAGCACGCTGGGCACTGGACCCAGGCTCTGACTCAGCTTGTCCCATCTGACTACAGTGGACCTACAGGATCTATCAGAGATCACTTGGCCATGGGAGAAATGACCTCTTGGCTAGAAGTCACGGCAGGAGGGGACACTTCGGCGGGGCCTAGGCAAGAGGAACTGAGATCAAAAAGGAGATCAGGACCTGGGCATTCAACTCTAGAGCTGGCGGCTGGCAAGCATCAGGGAAGCCAAGGCACCGGGGCCGCCCCACACCCACTGTGCCAGCCTAGGGCAGGGAGCCCCAGGAAGCCCCAGGCTCTGCCCTGCTCAGTGCTGGACTCGGTGCCTGGCCCAGGCTGAGAAGGAGAGAAACTGTAGTCTGGGGGGTGTGGGGGAGGGGCACCACACTGGGATCTCAGAAAAGCCCAAAACCTGCGTCAAACGAGGAGACCGCTGCCGCAGGACCCTGAGGAGGTCTTCTGGTGACCACGGAAGAACGAATGTTAAGCTAGAACTGAGGTAACCCCATCGGGGAGAGGCAGCCGTCGTGCCTTCCCCACATCTGGCTGGTCTTTGCCATTTCTGTGTCCTGGTGGTGAGCAGCAAGATCTCTGAGCTGAAAGGAGGCACTCGCTTTGGGGAAGTGCAGGGTCCCCGGGTCCCCACACTTTGTCTTGTCCTGACTGAGAAAGAAACAGACTGCCCTGACCTCTCTGACCTGGCCAACGAGGTTTCCCTTAGGCTCAAACCCAAGCCAGGGCTTGAACATTCCGACACTTGTAAGATGTTTAGGTTGTTAATATAATGTTCAGGTTTCAAAACATTAAAACAAATTAGCCCCAGCCCTGAACCCAATTCCTTAAATTTTCGTTTAAACGCCACACCCTGCTCTCCCAGCTTCGGACAGGACCAGTGAGCACGCCCTTCCCTTTGCTGGTCACCTGAGGATGCTGCACTCTGTCAACAGGTTCCCCTAACGCATGCCCTGACCTGAGGATGCCCCAGTCTGTCAACAGGTTCCCCTAACGCGTGCCCTGACCTGAGGATGCCCACTCTGTCAACGAGTTCCCTAATACATGCTCTGATCTGATCGCCTTGGCGTTTAGTGATTCTTTCCTTGGAATCTCCACTGGCCCCATTGCAGGGAACTCCCAAGTAGGAAACTCCCCTACCACCACTTTTGGGGCAACTTTAGCTAAGGGTTCGGCTGGGACAAACCAGGGAGCCACTCGGGAACCTGGGACAGGACCAGAGAGAAACCCCCAGGGACAAAGTGGGTAATGAAAGTTGCTGAGGAAGGGCCCAAAGGGTGCCCTCTGGAAAGAAATGGCACTGAAGGGCTGGAGGGGGGGTGGTCCTGACCAGGGAGTCTTACCTTGTCCCACAAAGACTGCAGCTCTTCCTGCCCTCCTAAGTCCCAGAACATGAGCCGAGCCTTTCCCACATCCACAGTGCCAACTGGGGAGAGGAGGAAACAGGCAAGGCTCGTGACCTTGGTCCTCGACACACCCAGTCCCAGCTCTCCCGGGGGATGGAGCAAACCATGCTGGTGCCACTCAAATGAGACTTGAGAGGGGACTGACAGGGCTGTGGCCAAGGGCCAGCTGGACTGTGAACGTCACGGCATCCTCAAGGCCCCAAACCCACAGCCTGCTATTTAGACCCCTTACTGTTTAGACCCCTTACTGTTTAGACCTCTTACTGTTTAGACCCACGGTGGTGGTGATTTTGGATAGACTCATTCCCTTGTAGTTCTTGTTAAACCGGGTTTTTGACTGTTCCAGGAAGGTCTGAGAAGAGAGGGAGAGGCAGACACATCAAGTAGGGGCTACACTGGCTTCCCAAATATCCTTCCTCAGGCCTGTTCCTTAAGAGAGAAAAACAGAAACAAAGCAACACTCTGCTCTTCAGGAAGCTGGTGGTGACAATCCTGTCGTCTCAGGTGAAATGTGGATTCCATCTGGGTAGTGAACATGCAGCTGACAGCACAAAACCGAAGCGGGGGCCACCCGGCCGTGGGAAAGGTGCGGGCAAGGGAGTGGGCACTCACCGTCTTCCCAGCATTGTCCAGGCCCAGGATCAGGATGCAGTACTCGTCCTTCTGAAACATGTACTTGTACAAGCCCGACAGCAGCGTGTACATCCTGCCCTGGGCGCCCCAACATGTGTCAGTGTGCAGCCGGAACGCAGCTCCCCGCCCCCGGGCTTCTCCACGGTGGTCAGGGGCGCCCCACGTCCAGCTGGCCGCTCAGGACGAGAGCCTGGGGGCCATTCCCGACTCTCCCTCCTCCACCGCACCCCTGCAACTCCTCCCAGGCCGGCCGCCACTCCGTCCTTCCGCTCACAGCAATGACTGCGACCTTTCCGAACCCGCAGCGGCTCCGGTCCCTCCCCTGCTCGCGGGACCACCTAGCCGGGTGTTCGCAGTGAGCTCCGCTGCGCTCCCGCCCTCCCCCGAGGTTTCGCTCCCACGCTTCACGCGCGCGGAACGGGGAACACACTCGCGGCAGCCCCGCCTGGGCCCCCGCGCCCCACCCGGGAGCAGCGAGCCGCCGGCGCGCTCCCCAGGAGCTCCCCAGGGACGCCCCATCAACCCATTTCTTAAAACGGGGACGGCCAGCGGGAAGCGGACTACAGGGCGGGTGCGCAGCGGCCCGGCTGCTCCCGGAGGCGGCGCGCGGCGGGCAGGGAACGACTCCCGCGGAGAAAGAACCCGCGTCGGGGACCCCGGCTACGGCCGCCCCATGCCGCGGCCGCCAGGTTGGAGGCTCGCCGACAAGCAGCCAAAGCTGGTTCCTGTCACACCTGCGTCCCACCTCCAGCTCTGGGCCGCCCCTCGGGCCTCGCGCCCCACCGCATAGCCTGCGGCCTACCTGCGACCGCCGCGACCTCGGAGCCGCCGCTGCTGACCCCCGCTGACCTCCGCTGACCCCGCGCTAACCCCGCGCGGCGCCTGACGGGACGAGAGCCGGCCTCAGGGAAGGAGCTGAAACGCGTCCCGGCGGCCTCCGCGCTCCGCTTCCCGGCTGCCCCCGCGCGCCAGGCACTTCCGGAAGTGGCGGCGCTCGGGAGGAAGTGCTGGTCGGCGGCGGGGACGAAAGGGGGGTGCCGGGCCGCTCTAGCCGGTGAGGCCGGCGGGCTCTCTATGGCGGCAGCTGGGAAACCGCGCGGGGGAGGTTCCCTGCCCGGGGAGAGGGGACCCCGGTTTGCGGGGACGCGGCCTTGGCCAGACTGCAGAGACGCCGGGCGCGGGGGCGGGGCCGGCCTGGAAGGCAGCGGGCGCGGCGGGTGGGCTCGGCGGAGGGCCGGGCGGCGGGGCGCCCCGCGGGGAGGGGGTCTCCGGAGTGACGCGGGACCCGGCTAGCGGCGAGCCCAGGGCGGCTCGGAAGGGAAGCGCGGAGCCTGAGCGGGGGTACCCGGTCTGCGACCTCTGCGCTGGGAGCTGTGCCTCTGAGCCGGTGTCTCCCCGAGGGACAGGGGACGTGCCCGTGCCCTCCCGCAGTCTGTGGGGCCGGTCCCGAGACGCGGGGCTCACCTGGCTTCTCTTCTCGCAGCCCTGGTCCAGCGCCTCCCTCTCTCAGCATGGACGAGGAGAGCCTGGAGTCGGCCTTGCAGACCTACCGTGCGCAGCTGCAGCAGGTGGAGCTGGCCCTGGGCGCCGGCCTGGATTCGTCTGAGCAGGCGGACCTGCGCCAGCTGCAGGGGGACCTGAAGGAGCTCATCGAGCTCACCGAGGCCAGCCTGGTGTCTGTCCGGAAGAGCAAGTTGCTGGCCGCGCTGGACGAAGAGCGCACGGGCCGGGAAGATGCTGAGTACCAGGCTTTCCGGGAGGCCATCACTGAGGCGGTGGAGGCGCCAGCAGCAGCCCCTGAGTCCGGATCAGAGACCGTTCCTAAAGCAGAGGCGGGGCCCGAATCTGCAGCAGGTGGGCAGGAGGAGGAAGAGGGAGAGGACGAGGAAGAGCTGAGTGGGACAAAGGTGAGCGCACCCTACTACAGCTCATGGGGCACTCTGGAGTATCACAACGCCATGGTGGTGGGAGCGGAAGAGGCTGAGGATGGTTCGGCGGGTGTCCGTGTGCTCTACCTGTACCCCACTCACAAGTCTCTGAAGCCGTGCCCGTTCTTCCTGGAGGGAAAGTGCCGCTTCAAGGAGAACTGCAGGTAAAACCCTTTGTTATCAGGATGCCAACCTTGGGGCGTAAGGGGCACGCACACAGGGTCGGGTCAGGGTGGCCCTCCCTTTGCTTTGCAGTTTTGTCTCAGCTTCTTGGGGCAGGCATGCTTTGTGACAGCAGTGTCTGTGTTCAGGCGTCTGCGTCTTTGTTCCGGGGTAAATCAAGAAGCATAGAAGGTGGCCGGGTGCGGTGGCCCACGCCTGTAATCCCAGCACTTTGGGAAGTCAAGGCGGGCAGATCACCTGAGGTCAGGAGTTCAGGACCACGCTGGTCAACATGGTGAAACCCTATCTCTGTTAAAAACACAAAATTCAACTGGTCGTGGTGGCGCGCACCTGTGGTCCTAGCTACTCAGGAGGCTGAGGCAGGAGAATTGGTTGAACCCAGGAGGCCAAGGTTGCAGTGAGCGGAAATGGAGCCACTGTACTCCAGCCTGAGCAACAGTGCAAGGCTTATGTGGAAGAGAATAGGTCTCCAACCTATCGTCATTGTTTTTTTTTTTGGTTGTTGTTTTAATTTTTTTTGAGACAGGGTCTTACTTTGTCAACCAGGCTGGAGTGCAGTGGCGCAGTCCTGGCTTACTGCAGCCTGGACCTCCTGGGCTCAACTGATCTCCTGCCTTAGCGCCCCTAGTAATTGGGGTACAGACTCACACTACCACATCCAGCTAATTTGTATTATTATTACTTGTTTATTTATTTATTTTTTGAGATGGAGTCTTGCTCTGTCGCCCAGGCTGGAGTGCAGTGGCGCAATCTCGGCTCACTGCAAGCTCTGCCTCCCGGGTTCAAACAATTCTCCTGCCTCAGCCTCCCTAGTAGCTGGGATTACAGGCACCTGCCACCATACCTGGCTAATTTTTTTGTACTTTTTAGTAGAGACGGGGTTTCACCGTGTTAGCCTGGATGGTCTCAATCTCCTGACCTTGTGATCCGCCCACCTCAGCCTCCCAAAGTGCTGGGATTACAGGCGTGAGACACAGTGCCTGCTTTTTTTTTTTTTTTTTTTGGAGATAGAGTTTCACTCTTGTTGCCCAGGCTGGAGTGCAGTGGCATAGTCTCAGCTTACTGCAACCTCCTTCTCCTGGGTTGAAGTAATTCTCTGCCTCAGTGTCCAGAGTAGCTGGAATTACAGGTGCCCACCACCACGCCCGGCTAATTTTTTGTATTTTTAGTAGAGACAGAGATTCACCATCTTGGCCAGGCTGATCTTGAACTCCTGACCTCGTGATCTACCCGCCTCAGTCTCCCAAAATGCTGGGATTACAGACGTGAGCCATCACGCCTGGCTAATTTTTGTAGTTTTAGTAGAGGTAGGGTTTTGTCATGTTGTCCAGGCTGGTTTCACGCTCCTGAGCTCAAGTGATCCACCTGCCCTGGCCTCCCAAAGTGCTGAGATCACAGGCATGAGCCACTGCGCCCGGCCCTGTTGTTAGTTTTATTCTCTAGAGTTCAACTTGAAAACTTTACTTTTTTTTTTTTTTTTTTTTTTGAGACAGAGTCTCGCTCTGTCACCCAGGCTGGAGTGCAATGGCTTGATCTCAGCTCACTGCAAGCTCCGCCTCCCGGGTTCACGCCATTCTCCTGCCTCAGCCTCCCGAGTAGCTGGGACTACAGGCGCCCGCCACCTCGCCCAGCTAATTTTTTTTATATTTTTAGTAGAGACGGGGTTTCACTGTGTTAGCCGGGATGGTCTCGATCTCCTGACCTGGTGATCCGCCCGTCTCGGCCTCCCAAAGTGCTGGGATTACAGGCATGAGCCACCACGCCCGGCCTGAAAATTTTACTCTTACGGAGATTTTCAAACATACCCCAAGTTAGAGAGCTTAACATAATCACTGCCCACGGTCCATAATCCACGGTCCATCATCCAGTGTCCTCATTGATTAACATTTTGCTAGTCTTGTTTTGTCTGTTCTCCCTGTTCTACTTTTTTCTTTCCTGGACTATTTTAAAGCAAATTCCAGAAGTTACTGGGTTTTTCCAACTATGAATACTTCAGAGTGTATCTCTAATCTAACTGATTAGGAAATCACTTAAAAAGTAACTTTTTGGAAGTCCAAGTCGATGTGAGGACAAAAAAGAGTAACTTCCATGTTATAATAGGTAATAGTATTACATTAAATGGTAACACATTTAATGGTAATACCTCTTCCGTATTCAAATATCCACAATTATTACTGTGATGTCTCTATTTCTGTAAGTGCATAACTTTATTTTTGTTCCTTTTTACTTTCCTCTTAGAAGAAATATTTATCAAGCCTTCTAGTAGGTAATTTTCTTTTTTAGCCAATAGTTCAGGCTGACCACGTAATCATCCCTAATTCTAGTTCTTTAAGTATCTTCCTCTTTTTTCTTTTGAAACCGGATCTCGCTGCTCTGTCACCCATGCTGGAGTGCAGTGGCACAATCTTGGCTCACTGCAGTCTCTGCCTCCCTGGCCCAAGCCATCCTCCCACCTCAGCCTCCCTAATAGCTGATACTCCAGGCGTGTACTGCCACACCTAGCTAATTTTTGTATTTTTTGTAGAGATGGAATTTCACCATGTTGCCCAGGCTGGTCTTGAATTCCTGATCCCCTTGATGAGAGATCTGACACATCCCTGTGATGCTTCCTCTGGGCCAGGCATTGCTCCAAGAATTTCATACACATTCATTCATCTGTGCAACAGCCCTGTAGGTAGGCCCTGCAGTCACACCATTTGACAGGGGAGGAAACAGGAATAGAAGAACTGAGTGGCCCAAGGCTTCAAGGCTCGGAGGGCTCCGGTTGCCCCCCGCCCTCGTTCCATCCCCTGCTCCACCCGGTGCTGCTTGCCGTGTCAGCATCAGGCCTGATCTGAAGGCTTCTGGAGCATCTTACAGACACCCACCTTGCCACCATTCAGGACTGATAAGTTCTCTTGGATTTGTGTTGGACTTTTTTTTTTTTAAGATGGAGTTTCATTCTTGTTGCCCAGGCTGGAGTGCAATGGCGCGAACTCTACTTCCCGGGTTCAAGGGATTCTCTTGCCTCAGCCTCCCGAGTAGCTGGGATTACAGGCGCCTGCCACCACGCCCAGCTAATTTTTGTATTTAGTAGAGGCGGGGTTTCACCATGTTGGCCAGGCTGGTCTCGAACTCCTGACCTCCGGTGACCCCGCCTTGGTTTCCCAAAGTGCTGGGATTACAGATGTGAGCCACCGCACCCGGCCCAGGATTTCTTTATATATTCTGGATGTTCATCCCTTGTGAAGTATATAGTTTGTAGATATTTGCTCCTATTATTTGGGTTGTCTTTTCACTCGATACAGTGTCCTATGATGCACATTTTAAATTTTGATGCAGTTCAATTTATTGTTTCTTTATTGCCTGTGTCTTTGTCGTCAGATTTAAGAAACCATCGCCTCATCCATACATATGAGGATTTTCACCTATGTTTTCTTCTAAGAGTTCTGTAGTTTTAGCTGTTAAATTTAGGTCTTTGGTCCATATTGAGTTAATTTTTGTATATGTTATTAGGTGAGGGTCCACTTCATTCTTTTTTTTTTTTTGAGACAGAGTCTCGCTCTGTCGCCCAGGCTGAAGGGCAGTGGCGCGATCTCTGCTCACTGCAACCTCCGTCACCTCCCAGGTTCATGCCATTCTCCTGCCTCAGCCTCCCAAGAAGCTGGGACTACAGGCGCCCACCACCACTCCTGGCTAATTTTTTTGTATTTTTAGTAGAGACGGGGTTTCACCGTGTTCGCCAGGATGGTCTCGATCTCCTGACCTCGTGATCTGCCCGCTTTGGCCTCCCAAAGTGCTGGGATTACAGGCGTGAGCCACCGTGCCCGGCCCCACTTCATTCTTTTGCATGGGGATTTCCAGTTTTCCCAGCACCATTTGTTGAAAAGAATGCTTTTTCTCCACTGAATGGTCTTGACTGCCTTGTCCAAAATCAATTGGCCATACGTATATGGGTTTATTTGTGAGCTCTCTCTTCTCTTCCATTGGTATATATGTCTTATGCCAGTACCACACTGTTTTGATTATTATAGCTTTGTAATAAGTTTTAAACTCAGGAAGTAGTAGTTATTCACCATTTGCTCTCTTTTTCAAGAGTGTTTTGTTTCTGGATCCTTTGCAATTTCATATGAATTTTAGGATCGGATTGTCCAATTCTGCATAAAAGACAGTTTGAATTTTGATATGGATTGCACAGAATGTGTAGATCTGTTTGGGGCATATTGCCATCTTTACAACATTAAGCCTTCTGGCTGGGCATGGCAGCTCACGCCTATAATCCCAGTACTTTGGGAGGCTGAGGCAGGCATATCACTTGAGGTCAGGAGTTCAAGACCAGCCTGGCCAATGTGGTGAAACCCCATCTCTACTAAAAATAAAAAACAAATTAGTTGGAGGTGGTGCACACCTGTAATCCCCGCTACACGAGAGAGTGAGGCAGGAGAATTGCTTGAACCTAGGAGGAGGAGGTTGCAGTGAGCTGAGATCATGCCACTGCACTCCAGCCTGGGCAACAGAGCGAGACTCCATCTTTTTTTTTTTTTTGAGAGGGAGTCTCACTCTGTCGCCCAGGCTGGAGTGCAGTGGCCGGATCTCAGCTCACTGCAAGCTCCACCTCTCAGGTTTACGCCATTCTCCTGCCTCAGCCTCCGGAGTAGCTGGGACTACAGGCGCCCACCACCTCGCCTGGCTAGTTTTTTGTATTGCAAGACTCCATCTTAAACAACAACAGTAACAAAAGAAAAAAACAATATTAAGTCTTCCAATTCATGAACAAAGGATCTGTCTATTTATTTAGGTCTTTAATTTCTTTCAACAGTGTTTTGTACTGTACAAGTCTTGCACATTCTTGGTTAAATAAGTATTATTTTTGATGCTTCTCTAAGGAATTGTTTTTGTTTTCCTTTTTTTTTTTTTGAGACAGAGTCTTGCTCTGTCACCCAATCTGGAATGCAATGGCACAATCTCGACTCACTGCAACCTCCACCTCCTGGGTTCAAGC